AATATGTCCCAGCAGTCACCATGTTGCTCTGCATGCCACTATACTCTTAACGGCCACCCTAGCAAGGGAATGCCAGAAACTGTTTCATTATATGTTTAGGTTCGCTATATTTTTTTATGTTAGGCTATTTCGGGCATGGATTTTCAGAACCGCTTTTTTTGTAAATGACTCTTGCATCAACCAAGCAGCCCCAAAGTGTGCCGGCAAAAAAGTAGCATAATCTATAGTCCTGACTGGCAGCTGTCGCTGCCCATGGTTTCGGGGATGCCCTGTCACACTCTTTGTTCTGTCTTCGGTGCGTAAATGCAGCGCTCCGGTGACCTGACGTTGTACAAAAACCTCAAGTTGGACCGCCAGGTGTTGCGCAACGGCACCACGGGCGAGGATGTGATCTTGGAACCATCTGCGGGAGGATGGCTCTTGTTGGAGGATGCAGCTCACGGATCGTACGTGGCTTCAGCGGAAGGGCAACAGCACTGGTGCGTTGACTTGCTGGAGTTCAATGTTGTAGTGTGCGACGACGAGAATGGCACACCGTCCAAAGTCGTTGTTGACTCGCACGGCGTTGTTAGGAAGCTCGAGACTTTCAAGAGCCAGTTTATCACCAAAGAGGTGCCCATTCCCATCCATGGATCTGGCCAGATGCTGCAAGTCACAGTGTATCAGTTAGAGCGCCCTTGGGATGGGGCGCGTGTCTTCTGGAGCTGCAAGAGCTTGCATCTGGAAGCGTTTGGCAAAGACTGCCCAAGAACCCCGCACCAATGGTATCAGAATTGGTGGACGTGGTGGGAGAAGGCCATCTCCTCTCAGCGGTGGCCCAGTGACTGTCACGTGCGGCGTGCCAAGATCCAGAAGTGCAAGAGCAACAGCACCGCGAACGCGGAGACTCGCATCTTCCCTGAGCCCAGCTTGAGCAGCCTCGCGTTTGCTTTCCTTCTACCCCGGTGGTGCCAAACATCAGCGAATCAGAAGAAATCCGCCGAGACTGCATCCACATGGAAAGCCTTGTTGCAAGGACTTTTGCTTCGCACGTTCGGCGACACAACGGTGACTGCGAGATTCGTCCTCGACCCTGATGCGGTGTGTTCGCCTGGTCTGCCTGCCGAGGGATTGCACCCAGTGGCAGTGGTGATAGAGAGAGGGTTCGTTCAATGCAGTACGTTGGACGAAAGATGCTTTGCCTTGTGCTAGTTCGAGTTCAGGTTGGGAGGCTCATGGGCGCAAGGCTGTCGTGGCGCATAGGGTCGTACTATATTAGAGGTTTCTGAGGTTTTGAAACAGGGTGGCGGTTGTAGGTTCTTGGTCCGCGTGAGGGTCTTAAGTGCGAGACTGCAGGATTTGATACTTTTCGTTTGTTTAAATGTTTCTAGTCTTTCTAGTGCAATATGCAAAGTAGGCAGAGAGTAAGGAAAAATGTTTCCCATAAAAGCTTTTTCCCCAACAAAGTTTGTGTAAGGAGAAGCTCCGTACTTTCGTGGTGTATGGCAGCAGCGACCCTGGAGCGGTGAGAGCGTGAACTTGACAGACTTCCTGCTTTTCGTGGAAAGCCGTGGCAAAAAGTGGCACTGGTTTTGGAAACAGGTGGCGGGGTTCTTGGCTGCAAGCTGGGATGAGGCCATCTTGCCCGTCCAGCATGGCTTGCCGGATGCCAGTGAGCAGGTTGGCAGCGAGACTGCCCACACAGCTCTGGTCACAGACAAGGGGCGCGCTCGTGCTAAGCGCATGAAGTTGTCCAAGGTTGCGCTGCGAGTGCGGGAGAAGTCCAACAGCAGCGAGGACAAACAGATGTTGGCTTACTGGTTGGCTTCCCGTCGTTGTTTCTCAGAACATGCTGTTGTTGGGTGCGCCTTCGATGCCAGCCGCTGCGGTGGAAAGAACTACCTCTTCGGATTCGGGACTTGCCCGGACGGAGTGGGTGCTTTCCTGCCACCACAGGCCAGAGATGTGGAATTTTGTAGGAATGCGGCATCATGTCGTATCTATAATGTTGGAATCTAGTTGCGAATCTTGAGGTACAAAATTCCTGAGATCCTTACGCGGTGTGTCTGTTTTTCTTTTGTTCATGAAGACCACATAAGGATCTTACGATTTTTGTTTTGCTTTTGTGTTGTAGACCACATAAAGATCTCATATTTTTTGTTCTCGGAGTTTTTCGGACTCCTCAAGAAAATGCACAGCCCTGAGAGGAGACGCGTGACTTGCTGACGCCTGTGACCGTGCAAGTGTTGGACCGTCCGGACCCAGACTACGTGCAGCTGCGGCAGGCCAAGAGGGACTGGGCAACTGCAGCTGCGGAGTGGTGCAAAGCCCAAACAGGCAAAGCAGCTGTAGAGAAAGCAAAGCCGCAGCAACTCTACCGCAAGAAGGCATACGAGTGGCTCTTAGCTTCCAACCATGCGTTGGAAACCATGTTTGCACAAGGTTGGCGCAGTTTCCAGATCCCGGAAGACTGTTCCAGGAGCCCTGAGTCATGGCCTTGCATCACATGCGCACTGGACCAGGGATCTGACGGTTTTTGCGCGGTCCACTTTTTGGAGCACATGCACGTGAACATCATGGTAGTCAACGATGCTTCCCACAGAGTCTGGAACGATGCTCAGTTAGCATTGAAGGACTCAGGTTGCTGGAGTCTTTGCATGATAGGGCTGGTGTTGCTGAACCTGGACCATGGGCCCTGGGAAGGTGCGAAATGGCACAGCGAGTCCCAGCAAGCAGCTTTGGAGTACAACCGCTTGGCAAGTACTGAGTGCCCACTTTTCCAGGCACACTTACCGCGCATCTGTGTTGAGACCGGTCGGCCGCTGCAGGATGCTAACCCGGAGGTGGCGGCAGAAATTTGGGAAAGCCTGCCAGATGCGGTACAAAAGAAGATGCCTCACGTGGGCTTCAGCCGATGGTTCGCTTTCTTCGACTCGATGGAGGTTTTGACAAGGTTGTGGAGCCAGCGCTTGTTGTTCTACGAGTACATCTGTCTGCAACTGGGCACTCCGGTGGGCAGCAAGAAAGAGAAAGTGGTGGTTGCTTTGGAGCGACGGAGCGAGGACGAGGACGTGCGCAAGAGCACCACCAAGAACGACCAGGCCGAAGTGCGGAAGGCACGCTCTGCGTGCAAAAACACTTTGGAGTTCGCGGCACTTGTGATGACGGACAGGTGCTTCTGGATGGTTTGTCGAGGTCTGTGCTCGTTGTCCGCATTCGTGCGCGACTGGCACAGTGAACAGAATAAGCGCAACAGGAGCTGCGAAGAATCCGTCTCTTGGATGCTTGGCATGGCCAGCGGTGAAGGTGCAGACAGTTGCAAGGAGACGCTGAAGCAGCTGCAGAGCGAGGCATTTCTGGAAGAGCTAGGCATGCCAACCACAGCTTTGCCACCTGGCATCAGGATTCTGGATGCTGAGCATCCATTGGTGGTGGAAGAACGGGAAGTGGTCGGGAAGCTAGCAGACTACGCTTTGTCCTTGTGCAAGAGGCGGTTGCGGTCCCTCGGGTGGCACTCCGAGACATATCCTGGCATGTTTGCGCTGTTGCTTTCCAAGGACGAAGGGCTGCTCAAATATGCTCTGGCCACCATGAAAGACGACTGGGATTGCTGGGAGCGTCTTCGGCTCGAGTCAGGCCCTTTTTGGAAGAAGCTGCAGGAAAGATCCCCATTCCGGTGCGTCCACACACAGCAGATTTTTCGTCTGCTGCGGGCCAGTGCATGGGAAGCAAGCGACGTCGTTCGTGATGTCGTGGAGAAGCACTTTGCCGCAATCACCCAGACGAAGGTTGTGGAAGATTCTGTGCGACTGGCCCGTGTTGCCGAGACCAACAAAGGCATGAGCAAAAAAATCGGGCCAGCAACTGTATGGCAGGAATTGTCGTCGAGCAAGCTCGGTTCCAAAACGCACCGCTTCACTGCGCCAGCCTGGCAGACGGAAGTGGTGCCGACCGGCCTCAACACGAGCTCGAGCAGCGGACTGTTTCATCCGGTGCCCCGTGAGACATGGGAAGAGCTGCGCAAGGTTGTGTCCACGAGACGGACAGCCCCGTGGTACAGTCCAAGCCCCCTAGCTTCCATGGCTCCAGCAGAGGACCTGGCTTTACTTCGGCACTGCAAGCAACAGGACTGTTGGGCTGCAGCTAAGAACAGCTGGTGCAGCTTGTTGGTCGATGTTCCTCGTCTCTGCTTGCGGCCTAGAGGGCGAGAGGACTCTCAGTGGTTTTACAGCATGGGCAGTGTCGGCGGCAGTGCAGTGGCCGCTTGGCCGATGGACACTTCCGTGGTTGGCAGCGAGACATTCCTCTCTCCGAAGCCCGAAGGTCGCAAGTTTTGGCTTCATTTGCTTCGTGCAGAGGATTGGGAGGCTTTGACAGTGCAGTGGTGCGGTCCCTTGGAACAGAAGGCGAGAGCCGCCCGGTTCCCTGCTGATCGCTTCATTGTGGCGAGAGGAAACCACGAAGCTCTTCCACTGCTACATTGCGCCGCCCGAAGCGCCTTTTGGTCGCTTCCGAAAACGACCCTCCTGAGCGTGGCGAGACATCTGGGTGCCGCAGCATCTTCGGATCTCCCTCTGGCTGGCGTTCTCGAGGTCGGCTGTTTCGGTTTAGGGTGTTTTGGGTAGGAAATCTGGGAGAAACTTAGCCACAAACCGTCGTTCTTGCATTGCAGCCCTGAGCCGACAACGTCCAAAGTAGCAGACTAGTAGGAATCATAATTACTTTTAAAAAAATCCTATAACCCCTACGTTTTCATGCCACTGTGGCAAATTTTGTGTACACTTTAAACCTATACTATAGCTCGAAAAACTTAAGCAGCATGCAGCGTCTTGACAATTTAAAACCTTTGTGCATTCTCTGAGTTTTTGAGCACGAAGGCATTGGTGAAGCATATCTTCCCAGAGATGAAAGCAGAAGAAGTGGCCCTAATCCTGCGGCTGCGCTTGCGCAGCTTCGATGATTCCCTGGACTTGCTCCAGAACGCGGACGTGGAGGCGGTTTTGGAGAGCAGCGATGTGAAAGAACTGGACAAAGTCCGTGTTGAAATGCAGCAGCAACTGAATGAGGATGAAGGTCTGCGGGAAGCAGTCCGAAAGCATTCGAAGTCTGGCACTTCACGGAAGCAGCCAGGTTCAGCGAGATCCGCTGCCTTCCGCAACTACCCCAAAAAAATCCCGAAGCCCAGTCAAGCCGAATGGAACGGCGACATTGCGCAGTCCTTGCTTCCTCCAGGTGCACGTTTGTTTGAGGACAACCTGAATCAGAGATGGTTGCTGAGTATGGGCAGCGAGTTTAGGAGATCTCGAAGCTGGGGCCTTTATGGTTTCAGAACAAGCTCGCTTCTGTGTGCTCAGCTGGCATGGCAGCGTTGGCAAGAGTCCGGAGGGCAGGAGTGCCCCATCGCAGATCTGATGAACTACCGACCCGGTAGTGAGTGAATGATGCAGCAGACACGATAGTTTCTCTTCATTTTTTGCATGCTGTCGAAGTGCTTTTGTAGTTAAAGACACCCAAGCCTCACAGCGAGCATTGCCCAGAAGGCATGCTCGAAGCATGCCGCCCGAGACAGTAGCTGCCACAGCAGTCGGCCTTTGTGTGTCCTTCGTCATAGTACTTAACCCAGTCGTGTAGAAAAGAGAATATACCTTTTCGCAAACTTGCCTTCCACTTTAAAAGCACCTGTAAGCATGTGTAGAAGCCCAGAAGTCCTACCGCTTTCATCCCGGGCAACCACTGACCAACACCCGAAAACCTCGAACCCATGACGGCATCAGTAGTGTAAGCCTTCGTGTAGGACGCCTGAAGCTACGTGTTGCAGCAATACACCCCCTCACCAAAACTACTGCATGCAATGAGCCTGAAGTTTCAGTCTGGTATAGACACGTGCCCTTCCAGTTCTTCGGAGTCTAGTCCCTAACACAAGCCTTGCAACTCCGCCCCATAACATGCCACAAATGAGTACTGTTTGTAAGTCGGGTAGCTCGCACAGCATGTTTGTTTCTTCTGAAAAGGAATGCAAGCACAGCATCAGCTACACAAGTGCACCGAAAGTCACTGCAGGCCTATCTGCGATTAGGCATTCGTGGCAGGGTCTGGCTTGCTCGACTCTGGCATGCGAGCACGTGGATATGAAGAGAGCCGCCGCCAAAAGGCAATGAGCAATGCAAGCCAGAGGGTTTGAATCACGCTTGGGCGACTGATCGGGTCAAGGTCTTTAGAACATCCGTTGGAAGCCTTGCGAAGCGCCGTGCTTCATATCTACTTGGTGCGTGTAGTCCAAGAACTACCGAAATGCCACATGATATTGCCACATCCTGAATTATGCTTTGGTCTGATAGGCAGGTGCCGCTTCGGAAGTGAAACGATCGGCATAGCTTCTGAACGTAGACAGCTCCCCAGCTCCATTCATTTGCAATATCTCGGTAAGTTTGGTGTACACTCGGAGCAATGCGCCATTTTTCTTGCATCGTAGCCTACAGTTTGACATCCTGGTGTCCT